TCGAATCCGGTCCCCTGGACAGCTTTAGAAAGGGGTGCATAGATTTTGAACTTTTGACTGTATTTTCATAAGTTTCACAGATTTTCCTATTGATAAAAACCACCCACCTTCATTGCTGCAATTTTACACAGGTATTATTTAGTTTCTCTGGTCCCACCCACTTAAGATCAAAATGGGCTTTATGTGGCCCATGTAAAAGGAGTTTGACATTCCTGGTTTAAAGTGATGTAGAATAAGTTTTTTTTTTTTTTTTTTAAATATATAAATAAAAATGAAAATCATAAAAAATGACAACTTGGATTTCTACCCCATCCATCCATCCCTCCCAGTCACATGCAGCAGTCCCTGAAGACATACCCAGACCCCCTTCTTACCGGTCACCTGCTCCTTACCGAGCTCAGCCCAGGCCAGGTGAGAGATATAATCTCAGGCATGCCTGTCTCGGGTCTGCACTGGTGCCTCAGATTTGGCTTGGGAATTAGTGATTGACACCATTATTTAACACACACCATTTTCAGTGCATGGGAGATCCACGTTTAGCCACTGTGGCACCAACAACCCAAGGGACTCCACTTGAGTGGGTATCTCTTTTATCTCACCCTGGTTTTTACTTAAGGTGCAGTACCATTTATTCTTATTTTTGTTTTCTTTTTAGCCCTTTATTATTTATTTAACTTATTTATTTCCATATCTTAAAGTTGCAGTTTGTCTTTGTATTTTCTCTTTGAAGCATTCTGGGGTGCAGGTGTGCATTAAATAATCTGTAAATAAAGAGTCGAGTTTCTATCTTATTCTAAACGGTTGCAGCAATGAACAGTTATCCCGATTCTCTAATAAACACGATGGATACTATTTATTTTATTTGGCCTGGAATTAGAGACATTTTCTCGCTATGCTCTCCTTTTTTTCCTCTTCTCGTTCCCTTCAACCTCCCACCATATGGTGGCAGATAGCTGTCCCTCAATGAAGCTAGATTTTATCCTATTAAAAAAAGAGTTTTTCCTTTCCGCCATTGCCAAGTGTCGTAAATAAGTGAGTGAGGTTTTAAATTTGATTTTTTTTTTCATTAAAGCTGCAGTAGAAAGTGCCGTGAGGGGAATTGTTGTTGTGAACAACTAAATAAAACTGGACTCAACTGTGCTAAAATTAAAGCGACAGTACTGCTGGTCATTTCATGTCCGATGTTGCCATCTTGTGTTCAGTTGCTGTACTCAGATGCATATGACTATCACTCAGTGATTTTATTAGTTAAAATGAGTTTTCTACCAGAAAAAGGTCCTTGTGCAGAACGTTTTTTGTTTTTTAAATCAGAAGAGCTGGTGTGGTTA